TTGTGCTGATGTTATTAATGACTACTTTACCTCTGTATTTACTCGCGAGCCTGTAGGCAATATACCCCACTTTCCCAGCCTTAATTTTAGCCAGATGCCTCCAATTTTCATATTAGCTGAAGGCATAGCTAAACTTATCAACAGCTTGAAGCCATCCAGTGCTCCGGGGCCTGACAACATAACTACAAAGATCCTAAAAGGTACTAGGGACATTTCATGCCAGATATTAGAAACAATTTTCAGTCAGTCAGTATGCACTTCTTCGATTCCAGATGATTGGAAATTAAGCAAAGTCACTCCAGTTTTCAAAGCAGGCGATCGTTCTGATCCATCGAACTATAGACCAATCTCATTAACGTGTATTGTTTGTAAAATGCTAGAACATATCATTTACTCACAAGTCGCTTCTCACCTGGACAAAAATTCTTTCTTTTTTTCCAAGCAACATGGATTCCGCTCTGGATTTTCTTGCGATACCCAGCTTTATGAGTTCACGACTGACCTTAACTTAAATTTAGATTCTTTATTGCAGACTGATATTATCTACTTAGATTTTTCTAAAGCCTTTGACCGAGTCCCACATCAACGCCTGTGGGCTAAACTTTCCTCCCTATCTATAGATCCCTTAGTACTGTCCTGGATTTCGTCGTTCCTTTCAGACCGCACTCAGTTTACTGTTATTGGTAACCACCGCTCCAATATATCTCAAGTTATTTTAGGTGTGCCTCAAGGCTCTGTCCTCGGACCACTTTTATTTTTAGTCTTCATTAATGACCTTCCTAGTGGTATTTCGTCCACGTTTCGCCTGTTTGCGGACGATTGCGTTCTTTATCGTCGCATAACTTCCACCACTGGTCAGCAACTTCTGCAAAGAGACCTTGATGTAATAGAAACCTGGTGCGCCCACTGGCTGATGAAGCTCAATGTATCAAAATGCAAGAGCATGCAAGTGTCACGAAAGCATTCCACCCTAGATTATTCATACACATTAAACTCCACGGCTCTTTCATGCGTAAATTCGTACCGTTATCTAGGTGTCCTTATCACTGCCAAGCTCAATTGGTCCGAACACATCACGAAATTAGTTGCAGATACATCGAAAACTCTTGGCTTCATTAAACGCTCCCTTTCTTTGTCTCCGAGTAACATCCGAAAACTTGCCTATGAGGTATACGTCAGACCTAAACTCGAGTATGCCTGCGCTACATGGAGTCCACATCAAAACTACTTAATTGAATTATTAGAAAGCGTCCAGAATAGGGCCGCTCGCTTCATCAGTTCTGAGTATAGTAGTTGGGTCAGCATTAGTGACATCAAATCATCCATCAGTCTCGACTCCTTAGCCCAACGAAGAAAGACACTGCGTCTGGCACTGTTTCACAACCTGTATCATAATCGTCCTGACCTTCGAACCTCCACTTTAATAGCACTTGTGCGAACATCATGTCGACTTTTCAATTCCATGAGTGTGCAGCGTATAACCGGCTCTACAACCGCATTCAACAAGTCTTTTTTGCCTTTGGCCATAGAGAAATGGAACTCGCTTCCCGAATCAATAGTACACCAACGTGACAATTCGAAATTCAGGCAGTTAGTATGAGCCCATTTAGCAAAATAAATTTGACCGACAATAGACACCTGTACTCCACCGACTCACACAAGAAAGTGGAAGCTTACTTTTAAGCTGCTGCTTCTTCCAAGTGTATATTAAATATTTTGTACTGTACCTTTTTTATTCTTTATTCTTTCGTAAATATTGTACCGCTAAAGTTATATAATACCACTGTCCTCGACTCCGTAACAATGTATAACGAAAGCACTCCTTATTGTAGATTCTGCTTACAAAATCAGTCCATCTATCATTTTCTAAACACGTACTATGATGTTTGTTTGTTTATTTGTTTCTGATTAGTTTTCTTTTTTTTCCTTTGTTTTGTGCATGTCAAACCGCAATGCAAATACTTTGCAAACGCATGCGGAAACGCGTAGCATGTGTCATTTTTGTTTTTCTTTTCAGTTTCGTAGCAGTGCACAGAGCTAACATGCCTTTTTCCTTTGTAAATGTGACCTTGTATGCATATTTCTATGCTCCCCCCCCCCCCCTTATGTAATGCCCAACCCAGGGCCCTTAAGGGACAATAAATGATGATGATGATGATGAAAAGGCATACATAAGTAATTTTAAAGACCGTAGCGCTTATCACGGTGCGCTGACCATGCAGCGCTTGCACGGAAACACGAGTGTTCCCAATGCTTTGCTAAAACGGGACGGTGGTGGCACCTGCCTGTCACCTTGCGTTTTACACTTTATCACCTCAGAGATGGGCGCGCACACCCGTCTCGGAGCCACGCGCTTTGTTTTCTAAAAAAGCTGCCAGATGGCGCTCATGTCTCACGTGTCACGTCACTTTATGCGCTTGTTCGCCTCCACTGCACACTCGAGGCACTCTAATGCGGCGCCCCTAGAATACCATTCACCGATTTTTCAGCGCAGAACATCAAATAAATGTTTTGTTCACTCTCTTCACACGCAAGACTATCGTGTTTCGACGACATTTGCAGATTACTGCAGATACGGGGTGAATTTTTTAATTGACAATTGCACAAGTATGAACGCTGAAACTTGACCAATACTGGTGGGTTCTGCGGATGGGGTTGGCCGTTTAGAGTATCGCTTGGTGCCGTTTGGGGTATCGTTACGACGGACAAACAGACAAATGTGCAGACAGACGGAAAGACATACAGACAGACCAAAATTTTTGCGTTGAAGTACCCTAAGAAAGATAAAAGCAATTATTGTACATATCTGAGGCACCATAACAACACGTCAACATTTGGTATGTGTGCCTTTATACTAGAGATAGCATACATAAGTAATTCTGAGGACCGTAGCGTTAATCATGCTTCGCTGACAGTGCAACGCGATGCTCAAAAAGGCAAGTGTTTCCAACGCTTTGCTAAGACGACATGGCAGTGGCACCTACCCGTCGCTTTGCGTTGTACACCTTATGGCCTCCAAGACAGGCGCGCATCTTTCTCCGGGAGCACGCACGCTTTCCTTCGTTTTCGAATATAACTGCCAGATGGCGCTCGTCTCTAACGCGCCTCGATGCGCTCGTTCGTCTTCGCTGCACGGTTCGAGACTCCCTAACGCAGCGCTTCCAGAACACAATTCACCAAATTTCTCACGCAGAACATCAAATAAACGTTTTGTTCACTCTCTCCACATGCAAGACTATCGTCTTTCGACGACATTTGCAGTGAAACATACACAAAGGGGGCCAATTTTTATAGGCGCCATGGAACCGACTCATGAGAGGGACCTGTTTGATTTATCTTGCAGGAAACATAGAGTGGCACAGACAGACATAAATTTGCATAGTGCCGTTGACTGGGTTTCGCATGAGCGCTGCAGGGACACTGAAATTTCTGTTTTTCATATTTATTTTCACAGTGGTTGGTTCTTTAACAGCTCCACCAGTGTTTCGGTGAGGGTTAGTGCCAGCGGATGGCAACAATCCTTTATGGAAACTCGCGATTCATCGATGCCATGTGACTCGCCTACATTCTTCTTTACCATTTCACGGGCGGCCGTCTAAACATAGTAACACCCTCTGGGCACTTGTGATACGCAATTTTTGACAACGGATTAATCATGAAGAGGAAGTTAACAGACACCAAAGTTCAGGTACATGTCAGAAAGAAGTGAGGACAGTTATAAATTAGCACGAGTTATCTCACTCGCACGGATAATGTGAGCCACGTGACTTGTAGCCTTGAACTCCATTTGGAGTGACTACACAATCTTTCAACTGCCCCTACAATAGTTTGCTGACACGGCTCGTCGTTGTACCTGGGCAAATTTAGAATGAGATACGAGCCTGATCTGTGCCGGCAGGTTCATGCCACAGCTAGCAAGGTAAATGGCATTACACAGCACCCCTGTACACGTAATCATGATCATCGTCAGCAAGCGCAGACGTGTGTCTGTTTCCTTAACAACTTGTAGTAGGTAGTTCAGCAATTGGTAAAATGTAATAGCTATGGCGTACCGATCACTTCCTAGCTGTTCTTGAAGTAGTCATCGATGTTTCAAACAACGCTTTCAACAACGAACACAGGAAACATCGAAAATGGATCGACACAAAAAGAAGCTCGTAAGGGAAGAGGGAATTTCGCTGGATATCAGAAAAAATGGCAGCATATCCACGGGGTGAATGATGGAGAGCTGGGCGAAGCATCCGTCTATCCATTCGTTCTTGCTTCCGTCCGTCCACGCGTCCGTCTGTGTGACCATCCGTGCGTCCATCCGCCCGTCCGTACGTGCGTCTGTTCGTGCGTCCGCACGTTCATCTGTGTGTCCATCCCTGCGTTCGTTCATGCATCCGCCCCTGCGTCCGTCCACGCGTCCATCCGTCCGTGCAGCATTCCGTGCGTCCGTCCATGCATCTGTCTGTGTGTCCGTTCGTCCGCCTATTCAACCCTCCAAGTACCACCGTCTCGCTTCTTTTCATCATATATTCCGCATATAGAACCACCGCCATCCAGCGGACATTCCAAGGACTAAACGAGAGGTGGAACACGCACACTTTCTCACGACTTGCACTTCGTGTCTGCTTCCCACCTTTAACCACCTAGAGTTCATGGTATATACTAGTTCACTGTATTCATGGCACTGCGGCCCAACGCTCGCTAAACCTTACTAAAAGCAAGGAGGTTACGCCCAGCGAGTATAATGTAGCAACCCTTTCTTGTCAGATAGTGCTCAATGTATATGTCAATGGCTGCTAATGGAGAATGAGAGACAGGAGAATTCGGCTTTTAATCCATGTGCTCGCTGCGAATTTTTTATTGTTTAACAACGCACAGGAGAAATCTCCCACCGGCACCACCGTGCAGGTCAAAGCGCAAGACATGTTACGTACTACGACGAGGGACGAACGGGTGCCGCTTTAGGGAGCTTCGCCCCTCAAAGTGAAGCGCACTCGTTGAGAGATTGCTCACAGCTCAGTACTTCCTTCAAATGCGTAAATACCATATCGGTAGGTGAGGCCGTACGGTGCGAAGCCGTAAGCGTATACAGCGCACGCCCACTGGCGGGGCTTCGACTCTGTGGCTGTAGCTAACGCTGGTATGCGGCAGCCGTACAGGGTAGCCACGTTGAGAACGGTAGGTGCCACTGGTGCGGCATTCTGGACAGTCTGAAATGCTGCTATGGGTGCAGCGTTTATGGTAGTGAACGCTGGCCCGGTTGGGTAGCCGGCCACCGGTAAGCCATGCGTGGGGACGCAAGCTGCCGTGGCATCGCCAAGGAGAGCAGCAGAGTCACAAAACCTGAAGTGGGTACGCAGGTATGGAAAGTCAGTGCCTCTAGGGTACCAGAAGGCAAAACATCGTTAAGAACGCTAGGAGGGAGATTGTGAAAGAGCATTGTAAGTCGAAAACATGCAACAAAAAAAATGGCAGCATATCCACAGAGTTAATGATGGAGAGTGGGGCGAAGCATCCGTCCGTCCATTCGTTCTTGCTTCCGTCCGTCCATGCGTCCGTCTGTGTGACCGTCCGTGCGTCCAATCGCCCGTCCGAGCATGCGTCTGTTCGTGCGTCCACACGTCCATCTGTGCGTCCGTCCCTACGTTCGTCCATCCATCCGTCCCTGCGTCCGTTCATGCGTCCATCCGTTGGTGCAGCCATCCGTGAGTCCGTCCATGCATCTGTCTATGTGTCTGTTAGTCCATCTATTCAACACGCCAAGTACCACCATCTCGCATCTTTTCATCATATATTTCCCATATACAAGCACCGCCATCCAGCGGACATTACAAGGAGTAAACGAGAGGTGGCACACGCACACTTTCTTACGGCTTGCGCTTCGTGTCTACTTCCCACCTTTAACCACCTTGAGTTCATGGTTCACTGTATTCACGACACTGCGGCCCATCGCTCACTAAACCTTTCTAACACCAAGGAGGTTATGCCCACCGAGTATAACGTAGCAACCCTTTCTTGTCAGATAGTGCTCAATGTACATGCCAATTGCTGCTAAGGGGGAATGAGAGACAGGAAAATTCGGCTTTTAGTTAACGCGTACGCTGCGAATGTTTTATTGTTCAACAACGCACAGAAGAAATCTCTCACCGACACCACCTTGGAGGTCAAAATGTAAGACTGGTTACACACTATGACTATGACTACGACTACGAGGGACGAGCGGGTGCCGCTATAAGGAGCTTCGCCCCTAAAAAAAATATGAATAGCACTAACTCTACAAGTCATGAGCGCCTTCCTGGATCATCTTTCATTAACATTGAACTGAAGATTGCATAAAGGCTCATACACAAGTGTGAGGCAGCACAACCGTACGATTCGAAGAATATAAACGACCGCCAATGGCTCTCTTTATCAGTGTTGCCGTTGGTGGCTACCTTGCGCCGGATTGGCTACTTTACGACACAGTCTGGGGATAAAACATTTCAGATTGGCACAAGGCTACTTCATAGCAATAGAGAACTGCTATTCTTTCATTGTGTGGCTGAACTTCCCAGCACGTGGGACGGCTTTCAGCTCTCCCATAGGACAGTACCAAGTACTGTAAATCGTTAACCACTTCTTCAAAACACACATGTGTGCCCCCTTTAGAATGCCGCAGATAGAATGCCAAACGTACTTAACGACTAATCTTTGTTTCCAAGCAACGTCAATAGACGTTTCAGCGGATGCATGCGTTTGCCCTCCCCCTGCAAACAGTCTGGTGCTCATAAAAACACCTCAACGAAAGCGATCAAACTTGCTGGTAACTTCGATAGTGACGCTGCGAGCATCTTTTTAATGCTGATCCACATCACGCATTCTCGCGGGAAAGTGACAAAGTGTAGATCTGCAACCAAATTAACCTGGCGCGGTTGTGTTCATATATCACTGTTCAAAGATGGACCGGTATTAGGGATTCCTAATCACTTTTGGTCGGTTACTTGAGGGTAAACCTGCTTCTCCAATTAATGTTTTACCTGACTGGTTGGCTGAAATATTCCAGTCTTAGTCTGCGCGTAACAATTATTCCATCTATATTTACAAAGTCTATACAGAAATGCACAAAATATAAAATTTTTATATTTCTGGCATCTGGGTTATGGCTTGAATACAAAACGCAATGAAAAAAAAGACTGCTTCTACTTCGATTTTATTGCTCAATCAATACGATACTTAGGGTAAACTAAAAACCCTTTCTATATTACCACTCTTCTATACCTTGGCTCCAAGTCTGATTTGATTGATATGTGGGGTTTAACGTCCCAAAACCACCATATGATTACCAGAGGCGCCGTAGTGGAGGGCTCCGGAAATTTCGACCTCCTGGGGTTATTTAACGTACACCGAAATCTGAGCACATGGGCCTACAACATTTCCGCCTCCATCGGAAATGCAGCCGCCACAGCCGGGATTCGATCCCGCGACCTGCGGGTCAGCAGCCGAGTATCTTAGCCACTAGACCACCACGGCGGGGCTTTGACTCCAAGTCTGGCGAGATGATTAAATAGCATAACTACGTTGGCTACTTTTAGCTTGAATTATTGTTGATTGATTTGTGGGGTTTAACGTCCCAAAACCACCATTTGATTATGAGAGACGCCGTAGTGGAGGACTCCGGAAATTTTGACCACCTGGGGTTCTTTAACGTGCACCCAAATCTGAGTACACGGGCCTACAACATTTCCGCCTCCATCGGAAATGCAGCCGCCGCAGCCGGGAATCGAACCCGCGACCTGCGGGTCAGCAGCCGAGTGCCTTAGCCACTAGACCACCGCGGCGGGGCGACTTGAATTATTGTGTTAGGGGCGTTGTGTTATTGTATTATTGTGTTATTGTATTAGGGGCGAAGCTCCTTATAGCGGCACCCGCTCGTCCCTCGTAGTCGTAGTCATAGTCATAGTGTGTAACCAGTCTTACATTTTGACCTCCAAGGTGGTGTCGGTGAGAGATTTCTTCTGTGCGTTGTTGAACAATAAAACATTCGCAGCGTACGCGTTAACTAAAAGCCAAATTTTCCTGTCTCTCATTCCCCCTTAGCAGCAATTGGCATGTACATTGAGCACTATCTGACAAGAAAGGGTTGCTACGTTATACTCGGTGGGCATAACCTCCTTGGTGTTAGAAAGGTTTAGTGAGCGATGGGCCGCAGTGTCGTGAATACAGTGAACCATGAACTCAAGGTGGTTAAAGGTGGGAAGTAGACACGAAGCGCAAGCCGTAAGAAAGTGTGCGTGTGCCACCTCTCGTTTACTCCTTGTAATGTCCGCTGGATGGCGGTGCTTGTATATGGGAAATATATGATGAAAAGATGCGAGATGGTGGTACTTGGCGTGTTGAATAGATGGACTAACAGACACATAGACAGATGCATGGACGGACTCACGGATGGCTGCACCAACGGATGGACGCATGAACGGACGCAGGGACGGATGGATGGACGAACGTAGGGACGGACGCACAGATGGACGTGTGGACGCACGAACAGACGCATGCTCGGACGGGCGATTGGACGCACGGACGGTCACACAGACGGACGCATGGACGGACGGAAGCAAGAACGAATGGACGGACGGATGCTTCGCCCCACTCTCCATCATTAACTCTGTGGATATGCTGCCATTTTTTTTGTTGCATGTTTTCGACTTACAATGCTCTTTCACAATCTCCCTCCTAGCGTTCTTAACGATGTTTTGCCTTCTGGTACCCTAGAGGCACTGACTTTCCATACCTGCGTACCCACTTCAGGTTTTGTGACTCTGCTGCTCTCCTTGGCGATGCCACGGCAGCTTGCGTCCCCACGCATGGCTTACCGGTGGCCGGCTACCCAACCGGGCCAGCGTTCACTACCATAAACGCTGCACCCATAGCAGCATTTCAGACTGTCCAGAATGCCGCACCAGTGGCACCTACCGTTCTCAACGTATAACCTCGAATCTCGAATATAACCAGCGGAAACCCTACTCTCCGTATTCGTCTTTCTAGGGTTTTTTTGTCCCATTTGGGCAGCGATGCAACGGTTACGTGCATTGAACATCGCACACTTCTAGAAACTGTTGCAGTTTATAGTAGTTTGCTATATTGTGGAATAACAAAAATAAAAGCATGTTTATGCAGGGTTCAACGCAAAATTTTGCTAACGAGTTGCCCGCAGCAATCACTACTTTTATAGAGAGCACATGGCAGGACGTTGTAGTGTAACAATCTGTTGAAAAGAACGAAAGTAAAGTTCAATTAGAGTGAGTGATTAATCAACACTCTGAAATACGGGTTTTAATACACAGAGCCTTCAAATTCTATGCTTTATAAAGTAGTAGCAAGGAGAGCGGGCTCTACTTACAGCGATCATGACGGAGCGGATTTCTGGTAGCTGGGCCCTGCTTGAATGAAATGTTGTTCGGACAGAGATTGCGAATCGACTTTTATACTTATACCGCTGGAACAGGACACCTTGGGCTTTTTTGCCCAAATTTGGTCAGCTGACATGTGAGATAAAAATAGAACAATTAACCTGCCTTTAACTTACTGCTTCACATATCAAATCTATAGCGTTATAGCGCTACGGTTGCTACGAAGATAGGGGTTGGGACCCTTTGTCTAATACAAAGTGTTGCTTTTTTTTGGTACTTGCTGTTGGAATGCTCGCAGTGCTTCAAACGCCTACAGCCTAAACATAGCATCGAACATTGTTTTGAATGCGAAGCACTTCTTAGTCGCACGATGTCGCGCTTCGGCGTCGGCGGTGAGACCGTACCCCCCCCACCCCCCACTCCCACTGCGCATGCTGGCGTTTCGTGCCGGCCCAGTAAGACACCCGGCAAACTGTCACTCTCCTCTCCCTCTGTCGCCTCGAAAGGCCGACACAGGCAGCATCTGCTAGTAAAAAAAAAACAGAAAATGGTCCCGTATCTGCATTTTAATCTGCAGATGTCACCGAAAGGTAACTTAGAAGTGTGGCAGCTTGGGCTAGTTGGTATGGCATGACGATAGTTATAGCGCGAGAACAAAACGACGACACAGAGACTTTCGTGTCCTTCTTGTCTCTGTGTCGTCGTTTTGTTCTCGCGCTATAACTATTGCACCGAAAGACGATTCTCTTGCGTGTGGAGAGAGTGAACAAAACATTTATTTGATGTTCTGCGCTGAAAAATCGGTAAATGGTATTCTGAGGGCGCTGCATTAGAGTGCCTCGAGCGTGCAGTGGAGGCGAACAAGCGCATAAAGTGACGTGACACGTGAGACATGAGCGCCATCTGGCAGTTTTCTTGGAAAACGAAGCGCGTGGCTCTGAGACGGGTGTGCGCGCC